CCCCCAAATCGCTCTAAAGTCTATGCGTTTGGGAGGCGTCCCTCCCCCACTCGCCTTATCTTCTGTTCCGTGGGGTGGGGGTGGGGAGCTTCTTTTCTTTTTAATCAATGCTTAACGACTCACGTTCATAATTGGTCCACAGACCTCGTTTACACTCCATTTCACGCTCGATCTCCTGCGCTTGCCCTGGTCAGCGTCACTTAGTCCATTCGGTCTCTCAGCACAAAGAACCATCAGAGTGGAGAGGTGCCTCAATTCTCCGGCATTACGCCGTCGAAGAGGCAACCTCTCAAAAGCTCCATAGCCAGGGGCCCTTCAGCCGGGTCCCTGGGGGAGTAGTGAGCCTGCACTCCCCCTCCTTCGGCTGGAGCACAGCTTCACCCCTGGGAGGTCCAGGAGGTGAGTCTGCTAGCGTGCCACCATCAACCGGCGAGCCCTGTATCTCATTTCATGATACACTTACAGAACTCTTTCAGCATACTTCACACGTAAATTAGCAGCTGTAGCCGAGCAATCAAAAAATTAGCATACAATAAATAAAGGTAACTCATTAGAACCATGCCAAGCTTGTGTGCCATCGGAGACTTTTTGCAATGGCTTAAAAATATTTCAGAAGGAATAAAGCATTAGCTGTAACAAGGAACTAGGTGGGGAAAGCCTTGGGAGTTGCTCTGGGAGTTGTCATTTAACACTGCCTTATGTACTGGATTACACGGTTGCCAATTTTTAATGGGCAGCTCCCGGGTCATTCCTCACACCTGTTACCTGAGAGCTTTTAAAGCAGAGATGCCAGGGATCTACCCTGCTGTGCTACTGAATTGCAGTCCTTCTTGCACTCCCATCTGTGAAGGAGGATCATATTTGCTGTCTTATTCCACCATCACCCATAAAAAAGTAAGCAACTGCAAAGACAGCGTTGCCAGCCAGCAAACGAGGAGCTTGATCTCTCTCATCGAGAGCCAGTGTGGCATAGTGAATAGAGTATCAGACTACGATCCTGGGAGACCAGGGTTCAAATCCCCATCACAAACTCTCAGCCTGGCCTAACTCACAGAGTTGTTGTTGTGAGAATGGAGGAGAAGAGAATGGTGTTCTAAGCTGCTTTGAGTCCCAACTGGGAGGGAAAGTGGGATATAAATAAATTCAGTGTTCATCATTTCCTTTCAGACCAGGGGCAAGAAAAGCAAACTGCAAGGCGGTTTCCCCACCCCTACCTTCTGTCAACTGCCTCGCCCACTCTTCCCAAGTTATCTGTACACCAGCTGAACAGACAGCTTTTGTGTCAGGCTCTGCCCCATATCTACTAAACCCTATTCCACTCTGTGACGTTCTCCTTATTGGGGAGGACCAGAGGTCATTTCGGGGGGGACCCTACCCAAAATCTCACCCCAAATGCAGGGTTTCACTCCCTGGAACCATCACTCTACCTGCTTTGGGCTTTACCCAGAGATTTTGCTCCCAAGTCAGGTAAAAAAATTCTCTTTGGGGTACCAGAATGCTTCTGTTTACAAGAGCCAGGGGTTGGGGGTCAGTCACTGTGATTATGGTTAGTTTGATATCTTATTACTTCCCCACCCCACCCCATTTCTAGTGAAACTCCTTGTGAGGGACCATTTTCATAGTCAGGTATCTGTGTAATTTTTGTTGTTGGAAGAAGTCTTTCTAAGATAGGGGCCAAGGAATTCTATGCTGGCCAAAGGAATTTGTCTTTGCCTCTGCCGTAGCTACTGGCAATATCTCAGCAAGGTGCTTGTTTCACATACAAATGCAGCATTCCAAAGCGAGACTCTCACCTCTCCAAGGTTGCATACAGAGGATGTGAAAGAATTATGATGGCCACTTGGACAAGGCTGCTGCCTTCTGACAATTTTCCGATTTTGCTGTGCACTTCACAATGTACATTGTTGAAGCTAAAATTCAGTAAAGTGCATCTATGTAAACTCTCTTTGTATAGGATGGTGTAGCTCTTGCATGTCTGCACTACATTGTACCCTCTAATCAGAAAAGCAGTCTGTCTGCTGATGCTCATACCTGGTGACATGGGGACCTGGAGCTGGAAGAGGGGGAAAAAAGATCTTGGCCCCTATGGAGCAGTTTAAACGAAGACAAGCTTTGACTGGAGAATGGTTCCAGACACCTTGTTACAACTGGGTTTGTTACAATTGGCCCAAAAGAAGAAGAAGAGAGAAGAGATTGGATTTATACCCGTATGTTAAGGTTGAAAGTGTGTGAATGGTCCATAACCCCCCAGGCAGCTTTTAAAACATGAACCTGGGACCTGCACACCATCCTCTGAAGCGCTCTCAGGTACATATCTGTGGCAGTAATGGGGTGACTGCTGGCACCTTTTCCTATCATTTTTTGCCTTGTGGTATTCTGCTTGTGGTGTGATCTGTCTTTTTTGTGGTGTGGCATGGTTGTGTTATTGGGTTTGTTTCTTTTGAAGGGGAAGTGCTGTGAGTGAGGACATATTTTACCTCAGAATACACCAGGTCGCATAAGCAACTGACAGTTCCAACTGTCTTGCGGGGGGGGGGATTTGAGGTGCAGAATGGAGTGAAGTCCAATCAGCTTCCATATGCAAATGACCTTGAAACACTGGCCCAATCAGAGAAGAGTGGCCTAGGCTGCAGTGGGTGGGAGAAAACTCAGGCAACACAGCCAGTAGATAGAGACACCTTGTGATTGACACATCACGGAGCCATCTGTTTTTGGAGTGAATGGACTCTTGCAAGACGAAAATGCTTTTATTATATAGGAGAGATACTGGTCCACTTTTGCCATCATGGCTAATAACTTGAAAAGCAGGTTAGACAAATTTAGGAATGGAGAGTCCATTAGTAGCGACTGAAGCTAGTGGCCATCACTACATCAGTGTTTTGCTTTCTATCCTCAAGCTACTGCCCCTCAGTGGCCCCAGCCTACCCAGTGAGGTGGTGGCCCAATAGGGATTTGAACCCAGGTCTTTCTGGTACACATTGACCTTGAACCAGAAGCAGGCTTATACCAAATCAAACATTTGATCCATCTGGATCAGTATTGTCTACTCTGACTGGCAGCTGCTCTCCATGGTCTCAGGGGGAGGTCCAGTTAAAGGCCTCGTCACCTGATGCCTTTAACTGGATACCCTGGGGATTGAACCTGGGACCTCCTGCATATCAAACAGATGCTCTGTCATTGAACCACAGCTTCTTTATGCTGCATCTTCTCCAGTAGCCACATATAGGCATTAAACAATATAGTTGACACTACTGATCTTGCCCTATGTCATAAATCCACTGCTCTTGCATGTCTGCACCACATTGTACCCTCTAATCAGAAAAGCAGTCTGTCTGCTGATGCTCATGCCTGGTGACATGGGGACCTGGAGCTGGAAGAGGGGGAAAAGAGATCTTGGGCCCTACGGAGCAGTTTAAGCGAAGACAAGCTTTGAATGGAGAATGGTTCCAGACACCTTGTTACAACTGGGTTTAGTACAATTGGCGCACAAGACTTTGAACTTACCAAAAACTCACAAGAAGCTTGTAAGAAGCCTTCCCAGCTGCCGCAGGTGGATGGCACAAATTGGAATTGACGCCCGGAGCCGCGGGCCAGTGGGAGATGATGATGAAGTCCTGAAAGACCCTGAGATGAATTCTCTCAGTACTCTTTTTTTTTTGGGGGGGGGATTCTAAGCTCACTCATTTTCCCCTCCTGCTTTTCCTGTTCTCACCACAGCTGCCGCGTTGCCCTAGTTCAGAGTGTGCACACCAGTCTCCAGAGACTTCAGGATGTAGCTGAGAATTCAGCCAGTGAAGCCGCTGAAGCACCTGAGACCCAGAACAACAAGGACTTCAGGTGAGGGGGCTTCAGAGAAAGTTATGGGATGCAACCTCCTCAGTCTCTCCTCTGAAGGAACTGTAAGGGAAGGCAAGCCAGTAGGACCAGGTAGAGCATATCAGCATGCAGTCCAGCAGCGATCCAGACATATTAAAGGCAAAGTGAGGCGTCAAGTCACAACAGATTTATGGTGACCCTGTCAGATTTTCAAGGCCAGAGACGTTCAGTGGTGGTTTGCCATGGCCTGCTTCTGCACAGCGACCCTGGGCTTCCTTGGTGGCCTCCCATCCAAGGATTAACCAGGACCAACCTTGCATTGTTTCCAGGCTGTGGTGAAACTGGGCTAGCCTGGGCTGTTCAGTCAGCTCCATACATATTACCTTGAACTATAAGGTTTTGAAACTTTTTTTAAACAGGTTTTGAAATCTGTTTTCAGAATTCCAGATCATTTCTTGATCTCAGCAGTTTTGGAACCAGCTCTTTCTGCAGAAGGCTATAAACTCTTGAAATTGCTCACCAAATTCTTTTGAAAATCACTAGTTTGGTTTGCATTATTGAATAATAATAATAATAATAATAATAATAATAATACTTATAATAATACTTTCAATTTATTAATCGCTTTCCCCAGTGGGCTCAAAGTGATGTACAGTTACACATTTTAGACAGGGGACTAACAATGTTCATAGGGGATAGGGAAGACAACATATATTCATTTAATTGCACACGCTGTCACTGCACGGTGTAAACGTCTTCTGGCTTGGCCCAGTCATTTGGATGTCTGAAGGTAAACAAGCAGTCCAGGGCAGTCATAAGTTTATTTTCCTTTTTAATGTATCCCAGATAGAACTCATAGCATACAATAATTTAACAAGGACAGTGACTGATATATAAAATTACTGGCACACAACAATTATAATTGTACTGACTAATGTATTAAACACAGGTGTCAAAGTTACTAATTCCAACAGCAATCAGTATACTATATGTAATGGTAGAGTAGGTGGCTGGTGCCGGTCACAAAAAGCAGGAAAACCAGGCCACCCGCACACCATGTCTGGGTTTTTACACAGCAGGGAACTCTTCAGCTACGCAGAAAAACACTGCTGTAAATTAATCAAAAGGAAAAGGGGACCCCCCACACACACCGAAAAAACTGCCCAGAGAGAATGTAGCCTGTTCCAGGAGGCACAGAATGTTAAGTGTAGTCAAGAGTCAGTTAAATAGAAGCAAACAGAAGAAGAGAAAGTGGGCCACTGAAGCCTGAGGTTCCAAAGGGGGTGTGGGAGTGTTTAAATGGGGATTTCCAGATTGTCTCTTTCCAGCATAATAGCCCTGTTGGACCAGACCAGTGATCATTATCTAGCCAAGCGTCCTGTTTTACACAGTGGCCATCTAGTTGCCCTGGAGGGCCAGTGAATGCAGCAAAGGGACTAGGCTTTGCCCTGATGTTGCCCCCCAGCGCTCAGATTCAGATGTTTCCTGTGTCCGACCATAGAGGTTCCTTATGAACTCTCCCCAGCTGGCAAGGATACAAATCTATCAGGTCAAATTTCCCCCATGTGTACCATTAAGAGAAAATCAGTTCATACTACATGTTAGCCATGGGAGGATCAGACTTCGCTTAACTGTAAAGCCAGGTATGGGGATGCTGGCAATTTAGCAGTTGTTGCCAAACCCCGTCCCATATGGAGCCATTCCTGTTTTGATCACCTTCTCCGTATCTGCCAGCTGTGATTTTGCCACAGTCATTACATTCAACTTGAAGCCATGGCATTTCATTCATGACATTGGGCAGACAAATGTCTAGAGTCTTAATAGTAACTGGATATTTTGCATTTTGAACTTACATGCGCCTGTTCTTCATATTTGATACAATGATTCTCTTAAGGGCAGTTTGATTGGCGGTGGTTCTTTTCCCAGGAACTTTTCACTATTAATTTTAGATAGCTAATGTGGGGACACTCCCCTTGGCAATTTTCTTCCATTTCAGCTTTTTCCCCCCCGTGCCAGGGAAAGGGAGCACTCTCAGTTGGGCTGGAAAGAAGTTTGAAGAGATCCCGATTGCTCATATCAAAGCTACGTATAACAAGTAAGAGACGAGCTTGTTCTGCCCATGGGGATCAGGCAGGCTGAGGTGCTGAGGTGCTGAGGGGATGCAGGTGGGCAGTGGGGGGTGTTCCTTGGTTGGGGAGGACCTGGTCCCACTATCTGGGAAGGCTGCCTCCCCACCCACTCTGCTCGTGGCGGAACACCAACATCATTGGGTGGCTTCCAGGCTGCCTCCCTGCGGCTACTCCGGACAAGCGTTCCACCATCGGGGAATGACTCTGTAGGAGTAGTTTGCCTCAAGCCGGGATTGATATGTTGCATCATACATACGTCCTGCAGGCCATCTAGTTGCCCTGGAGGGCCAGTGAATGCAGCAAAGGGACTAGGCTTTGCCCTGATGTTGCCCCCCAGCGCTCAGATTCAGATGTTTCCTGTGTCCGACCATAGAGGTTCCTTATGAACTCTCCCCAGCTGGCAAGGATACAAATCTATCAGGTCAAATTTCCCCCATGTGTACCATTAAGAGAAAATCAGTTCATACTACATGTTAGCCATGGGAGGATCAGACTTCGCTTAACTGTAAAGCCAGGTATGGGGATGCTGGCAATTTAGCAGTTGTTGCCAAACCCCGTCCCATATGGAGCCATTCCTGTTTTGATCACCTTCTCCGTATCTGCCAGCTGTGATTTTGCCACAGTCATTACATTCAACTTGAAGCCATGGCATTTCATTCATGACATTGGGCAGACAAATGTCTAGAGTCTTAATAGTAACTGGATATTTTGCATTTTGAACTTACATGCGCCTGTTCTTCATATTTGATACAATGATTCTCTTAAGGGCAGTTTGATTGGCGGTGGTTCTTTTCCCAGGAACTTTTCACTATTAATTTTAGATAGCTAATGTGGGGACACTCCCCTTGGCAATTTTCTTCCATTTCAGCTTTTTCCCCCCCGTGCCAGGGAAAGGGAGCACTCTCAGTTGGGCTGGAAAGAAGTTTGAAGAGATCCCGATTGCTCATATCAAAGCTACGTATAACAAGTAAGAGACGAGCTTGTTCTGCCCATGGGGATCAGGCAGGCTGAGGTGCTGAGGGGATGCAGGTGGGCAGTGGGGGGTGTTCCTTGGTTGGGGAGGACCTGGTCCCACTATCTGGGAAGGCTGCCTCCCCACCCACTCTGCTCGTGGCGGAACACCAACATCATTGGGTGGCTTCCAGGCTGCCTCCCTGCGGCTACTCCGGACAAGCGTTCCACCATCGGGGAATGACTGTAGGAGTAGTTTGCCTCAAGCCGGGATTGATATGTTGCATCATACATACGTCCTGCAGACAGGCTTCCCTCTCTCTTCTTCAGGGAGCACTCTGTAGTCACAGACAGGCTGTTCCCTTCTGCTCCCAGTTTTGATCCCTGCTGAAAAGGGCACGGCTGGTCTCCTAAGAGCCAGAAGGGTACCAGGAAAGAGCCTGGCGTGTGGACTTCTGACCGGGTTTTCGCCCCCTCCCTCTTGTGCCCACAGCACCCACATCCAGGTTGTCTCACCTCAGAACATCTCTTTGGCCCGGTTATCGTGTGGCACAGAAGGATTCAAGAACGCCAAGAAGGGCACTGCCGTTGCCGCACAGACCACCGGGATCGCAGCAGCAGCGGTGAGTGTGGCCACCCTCCTTCTGCCCCTTGGAAACAGCCTTGTCACAAGCAAAAGGGTGAGGACTTGTCAAACTCTGAGGAGAGAGCAGAGGCTGTTTTTGCAAATCAACAGCGCTCACACTGTCTCTGCCTATGCTGCCTTGTGGGGTGGTTGTGAGGCTAGAACAAGGGATGAGAAATCTATACACGCGCCCCCTGGAACTCTTGCGGGAAGGGCAAGGTGAAAGGATGATAGGCACTAGGAACAGGATCCATGAGCATATTCTGTGACTCAGGTCCTCTTCCCAAGTAAGATTTTTAATATGCACAAAAGAAACCAAGGAGGTCTGACGACATGCCTCATGTTGTTGTTGTTCAGTCGCACAGTCGAGTCCGACTCTTCGCGACCCCATGGACAAGATCTCGCCAGGCCCTCCTGTTTTCCGCCGTCCTCTTAAGTTGGCTCAACTTCATGTTCGTTCCATCTATGACACTGTCTAACCATCTCATCCTTTGCCGTCCCCGTCTTCTTTGACCTTCAATCTTTCCCAGCATGCAGCTCTCCAGTCGGCACATTTGGTGACAACCCCAGACTTGTTGCTGGGCAGTGTGTGAAATTGAAAAGGGTCCTAGAACCAGATGTATCTGCTGTATTTACAGTCACTCTTCTCACTGAGACTCAAAAGAGCATTCACGCACAGTGTAAATCCTTTTTGGAGTCTTAGTGAGGAGGGTGGACTGTAAATACAGTATATAAATGGGTAATAGTCCATACAATAATAAATTGTCCGCATAAAGAGACCTCTAATAAGCACATTAATTAATATAAGGAGACATCGAAAGAGCAGTGGACTAGGATGACTGCAACCTCAGTGAGTGTCACATATTAGGCATGATACAGAGTGTGGATATAATAAAGAAAAATGGCATTACATTAGTAGGAAACAAGAACAACAAAAGGGTGATAGGTGCAACAAACTGATAACACGTCCTATACATAGTGGTATAATCTACAGTTCCTTTCCCTTTATAAAAGTGCCTTTCTGAACAATTGTGTTATAGCATAGCCTTGTTTCCTTTATACAAAAGGTTTCCTGAACAACTCTATTATACATAGCAATTGTGAACCCTCAAGGATTTGTGAGAATATCTCACTTTCCCCTCTCCCACTATTTCCTTTTCCTCTTTCCTGAAAGCCCCCCTCGCCTCTCCCTTTTTTCCTGTTTCCTTCCCTTCTAGGGTTGCCAATCTCTGGGTGGGTGCTGGAGATTTCCTGGAATCACAATGTCTCCCAACTGTAGAGATAAGTTCTCCTCAGGGCTGCCAGACAGAGGTTGGGAAATCCCTGGAGATTTGGGGATGGAGCCTTGGGGAGAAAAGCAACCTCAGCAGGGTATCATGCCATAAAGTCCACCTTCCAAAGCAGCCATTTTCTCCAGGGGAAATGATCTCTGTCATCTGGAAGGCAATTGTAATTCCTGGTGATCTCCAGCCCCCATGTGGAGGTTGGCAACCCTAGTTCCCCTGAAGGAAATGGATGCTTTGGAGGGTGGAGTCTGTACCCCTCTAAGACCCCTCTTCTTGGGAATGCCTGTATCCTCTTCCTGCCTCATTCTCTCCTTCTCAGCCATTCATAGAATCATAGAGTTGGAAGGTCATCTAGTCCAACCCCCTGCCCAAGGCAGGAAATTCACAAAGACCTCCCCCCTCCACACCCACAGTGACCGCTGCTTCATGCCCAGAAGATGACAAAAAACCTCCAGGATCCCTGGCCAAACTGGCCTGGAGAAAAATTGCTTCCTGACCCCAAAGTGACAATCAGCATTTCCCTGGGCGGGTAAGAAAGGGCCACTGAGGCAACCCTTCCTGCCCTCCCTCTCATGATCTGCCTAAGTTCACAAAATCAGCATTACTGTCAGATGGCCATCTAGCCTCTGTTTGAAAACCTCCAAAAAAGGTTTTCACCTCCCAAGGAAGCCTGTTCCACTGAGGAACTGCTCTGTCAGGAAATTCTTCCTAATGTTTAGAAGAAGAAGAAGAAGAAGAGATTGGAATTATGCCCTGCCCTTCACTTGGAGTCTCAGAGCGGCTTACAAACTCCTTTCCCTTCCCCTCCCCACAACAGATACCCTGTGAGGTGGGTGGGGCTGAGAGAGCTCTGACACAAACTGCTCTTTTTCAAGGACAGCTGTGCCAGAGCTTGTGACTGACCCAAAATCACATCAGCAGGTGATAGTGGAGGAGTGGGGGATCAAACCCGGTTCTCCCAGATTAGAGTCCGTGCACTTAACCACTACACCAAACTGGCTCTCTGATAGAATTTCAACCCATTAGTCCTTGCCCGACCTTCTGGGGCAACAGAAAACAACTCCGCACCATCCTCTATCTGACAGCCCTTTAAGTATTTGAAGATGGTTATCATATCCCCTTTCAGTCGTCTCCTCTCCAAGTGAATCATACTCAACTCCTTCAACCTTTCCTCATAGGAATTGGTCTCCAGACCCCTCACCATCTTCATTGCCCTCCTCTGGACATGTTCCAGCTTGTCTATATCCTTCTTAAATTGTGATGCCCCAAACTGAACACAATACTCTAGGTGAGGTCTAACCAGAGCAGAGTAAAGTGGTGCAATCACTTCACGTGATCTGGACACTATACTTCTGTTGATACAGCCCAAAATCGCATTTGCCTTTTTAGTAACCGCATCACACTACTGACTCATGTTCAGAGTATGGTCTACTAAGACCCCTAGATCCTTTTCACACATACTACTGGCAAGAGAAGTCTCCCCCAACCTGCAATTATGCATTTGATTTTTCCTCCCGAAATGCAGAACTTTTCATTTTATTTGTCTTAGGCCAGTTTACCAGCCTGTCAAGATCATCCTGTATCCTGACTCTGTCTTCTACCATATTTGCTACCCCTCCCAATTTAGTATCATCTGCAAATTTAATAAGCATTCCCTCTATCCCTTCATCCAAATCACTGATAAAGATGTTGAACAAAACAGGTC